CTGCAGCGACTCTACCGGGAAAGACTTGCAACAACCGATACCGACCACCCATAACCCTAAACCCTAAAACCCTAAACCCCTCTTCAGAACTTTCAGCCCTGAGCCAGTAAATTTAATCGGTCGACAAGCCGGCAGACGCCACCATATATCCCTTGTCCTACACAAACTGTCTTGCATCCTTCAACGCTCAAAGCAACACTGACACCGGAAACCCGAAACCCCCCCTCAACCCTAAACCTTCAACCCTAAAACCCTCAACCCTCAACCCCAAATCCTACGTCTCAATGCCGTGTTCGTGTCCGAGAGGCCCCCGAGCTGCGGGAACTTGGCGAGGAGCTTCCGTGCCTCCTCGCTTCCGAGCCTCGGGGAGGGGTGGGGGAGCCTTTTCGGGTTTAGGGTTCAAGGTTTTTAGGCTTTTTTGGGCTGTTTTTTCCCTCCTAATTACATAGCAAGGACATGTGCTTGTTTAGGGTTATGGGGTTTATAGGGTTCTAAGGTTATTAGGGTTCTTGCTTTAGGGTTTTAGGGGTTTAGGGGTGGTTAGGTTTGTTTGCAGGTTCTTTTCCGACTGCACCAAGTCGCCGAAATTCCCTCCCGGGCGGAGCCAGAAACCTTGGGCCTTTCTTGGGGTTCCTAATATGAATTCTAGTGTTTTGGGGTTACAGGGCCAGGGTTTCTTAATCAGGTTCCTACACTACCACATCAAAGTGAACATGAAATTCCCAGTCAGCAGAAAAATGGGGACAGCGAGCTTCGGAGTGTTCCGGTAACAACTGACAACACCAAAACGCAGCACAGGTAGCATTGACCCCCGTAAGTAAGGCGAAAGCTCATGCTCCAGCAGCATCTCAATCCCTCTCCCAGCGACGGATGGCCCTGTTTCGCAGACAGTACTGCTTTGAACCTGCGTCCTCACGACAAACTCTACAAACCAGGATTTCAGCACTCACAACTGGGACAAGCCGGGCGAGGTATGTCTGATGCAGGCGAAAGGCACGTTGGCAAATTAACGCAGAGGCGCCGTAGGATTTAGGGCTTAGGGTTTAGCTAGAGACATCATGTAAGAGTCTCAATGATCAGAAGCCTGTTCTGTGAGTTTTCGTCCCTTAAGTAAGGCAAGCTCTCGAAGCCTGAAAGAAGCCCTACACCCTGAGCCCTCAGCCCTACAAACAAACAGATTACTATTACAGGCTAGAGTTCGTAAAGCAGTAGGCGTATTTAAACCCTGAACCCTGAACCCTAAACCCTAAAATTCTGAATCCTCAACCCAAAACCCGAAACCCTGGATCCCCAGGTAAACCCTGAGACCCGAATCTGCAGCAGAGGCTAGAATCCGTAAAACAGTAGGCGTCCTGAACCCTATTTCAACCCTAAGCCGTAAACCTTAAACCCTGGAGTCCCAAATCTGCAGCAGAGGAGCGAGCTCTTGGTATCCAAGAGCGGGCTTCGGGCGTTCAGGCTATTGAGTAGGCCCTTCCTCGCCGAGACGGTTCGGGTTCCGGCGCTCGCAACTCGAACACTCCCTTCGAGGACCCTCAACTCTTAAGCCCCTTAAGCCCCAAACCCCTTAAGCCCTAAACCCCTAAACCCCTTGAGCCCTACAGTAAACCAAGCCCTAAACCCCTCAAGCCCTTAAGCCCTAAACCCCTAAACCCCTTTTCCACAGGCTTGAACTGAGCTCGCCCGGCCAAATCCCTCGCAGCCCCTAAAGCCTAAACCGCTAAAGCCCTAAGTTCACATCGCTTCTTTGGGAGGCTGAAGCGGAAGTCGGAGCCTGTCCGGACCGGCCTCCATAAGGGTAAAAGGCCGAAGAGCTTAGGATTTACGCAGGTTTCCTAACCCTTGTCAAACCTAAAATTCAAGAACCAAGCGATTTCACGGCTTAAGAATCTCAACTCAGTTTCGATGGGAGGCGGTTGTTCAACTGCTCACTTTGACCGTAGGATATTGGAACGATGTGGGCTCTGACAGGCTAAGAAAGCATGCCGCAAAACCTTCATCCGGAACGGCATGCCGTCGGAAGTTGCAGAAGAGAGGATTGGCAACCTCTTTTGCCCCGGGCTTGTTGTAGAGGGATAATGGCGCAGGTACTTCCACAATAGACCCTCAGAGCACGTGACACCGCGCAAGTGGCAGCAGCAATACGTGCATTACAGTGTCATTACAGTTCTCGTTCTCGCCTTTGGTGTCGACACTGTGGGACTGCGATGCCTATTAGGGCTCACTGCTTTTTCTGTTTTTGGTGATTGTTAGTGTACGGCGGTTTTCTGCAGCTACCATTGCTCTCTTTGGTCAGGACTGTTTGGGTGCGGCCGTGGCGCAGAAGCCGAGTTGGGTTGCGGTGGCCTTCGGCGTCGGCGACTTGCCGCAAAGCAGCCTGGCGTGCCGCATTGAGTTTCTCAGACGACATGTGGTCTGCACTTCAGTTGCCTGCAGGAGCGCAGTCTCAGTGCATGCGGCTATATGAAGTCATTCTGTATCATGTGTTTGCTTGTGCTCGAACTTTGAGAGTGTGGGGGATTGGCCAACTTGTTTAGGGTTGGGGGCCTGCCGGGTCGATTGCAGGTTCGTGGAGATAGTCGTCGGGGTTCCTTTCCTGCAGAGCGATTCCCAGAAAGCCAAACACCACACCGTACACCTGCTTATGCTAATGATACTTTTCTGCAGTGCAGGTTCACATGTATTCATACAGTTTACTGAAGCCCTTATAGATTGCAACTAGTGCAAGAATGCTAGCATTATAACTTTCCCCAAACCCCAAGGGCGAACCCAACCTTTCCATGCAGACTGATGTTTTCCTGCTTCACGCAGTTCCCGCTGCCGGCTTCTACGCGGGTGGCTATGCATAGCAAAGTACAAAAAACAAGAATTATATAACACGCGTTATGATAATCATGTCCATAAACACAGTCATAGCAGTATTCGATTAAGAAGAAGGAGAAGCATGACAACTCCATCAAGTTATGGCACTAGCAGCATGAGCCGGAAGTTCTGACGAGCGCATCAAGTCGACACGGCTTCGGCCGCACGCCAGACAAGTCCACAGGAGGACTTCTCCTTGGCCTTGGGCAAACGGACATAAGCCGCAAACTCATTGACGAGAGCACGCGTTGCCTGGGCTCTTCTTGCAAAGCTTCAACCTAAGGTACCTACGAGTAAGTCAAGTTAAGCCCATTTTTGACTATAACACGCTTTATGTGATATTAGAGTATAAGTCTTTGACGAGAACCCAGCTGCAGCCTGGGCCTCGTTGGTGTGGTCCTCGTGCGAGGAATTGGCGGAAATACCACCTTTCGTCGAACTGAATCGCCCCGGCTTGTAGCTCAGCTTGTCGGCCCCATACCGCATGAAACGAAGAATCCCCTTGTCGGCATGCCAGTATCTCAAGGTGCGCTCGACATCGTCTTTGATCTGTCCAGTTCTGGTGTAGAAGCGTCGCTAGTGTGTCACTCGGAAACCGAACCAGGCACCGTAAACCAGGCCCAGCCTCTGCGAGTAGTCCTGAAAAACACCTGTCTTTGCGGCCTTCATGCGAAGATCATCACCTTTGTTCCTCAAGAAGTATTGATTTCTAGAGGGATTCACACCCCACAGATGCAGACCACGTTTCCGCATTTCGCACCCAGCGCGCTTTACCAGCTGGGACAGCTCCGGCTCCTTGTCAGCTGCGCATCGCTTGGGTTTCTTGGAGGGCAGTGCCAGCAGTCTGGGCGGTATCTTCGAATATTCGTCAGTGTCCCCGGCTGCGGCTTCATGGCATCTCTTTCGCTTCCTCTTTGACAAACCTATGGCCGTAAGAACAGTATCCATTCGTTGCGCAGGCAAAGCCTTGAACACGTCGAGAGATGTGACCTTCGCTTTACGGAGAAGTTCTTCGACACCTAGAGTCTTCTTTGCAATTTCTGGGCAAACTCCACGCAGGAAACACATGAGGTCTGATTCCTCTACGGTGGTCAGGCCAGTGCCCCACAATGGGCTGATACAGTCTCCCTTCTTCAGGGATCGTGTACAGCACTCGATGATACCTGCCGCTTTCTGCTCAGCGACGACGGCATCGTCTGGAATTTCCACGATCAGCTTCTCGATGTTGTCGTCCATGACCACGATGTGACTTCCTAGTGGAGAGGCCTCCTCTATGAAACGAACCTCGATGCAAAACACCACTTGAAGGTTCCCGGGTATTCAAAAAAGGGTTATGAGAAAGATACATACACGTTCTGTCCTCTTCTATACTTGTAAAAGACTCCCGGACCCCAAACCCCACAAACCCTAAGGTAGTACTTAGCTGTTGTCGACCGCACTCCCACCCAGGCCTGGAGATGCGCGCCGACCACCAGTCGGCCTTCCCACTTCGTGCCAGCGAGTGCAGCAGAATAAGCGCCAGAGATCCAGGCATCATCCGTGTGGGACACGAAGATCAAACAATGCTTGTATGCTTCTGGGCCGAGGGCCAACTCCAAAGCAGCAAGGGTCAACTCACGCAGACCCTTGTCCGCACTACGAAGCTTTTTTTCCCGGATCTCCCAATGCTGCTGTGCCTTCTCAGCCAGCGTCTTGGCCGTCTTGAGGTGCAATCTCTTCACACCGGCCTGTTTCAGGTCGTCTTGAAACTTGTGAGAGGGATTCCTGGCCAACCTTCTCAAGTCCTGGGCTCTGGTGAGGAAGCTTGTTTTTGCGGTACTATAACAGCGGCACATGATACCCGATAGTGCTTTCCGTGAAAGATATACTAACCTCTGCACCGTTAACCCAAATTACGCACTGCTGTAGTTTTTTCAGCACGGGCTTTGATTGTATGCCGGCAAGCTGGACTCTCAAGGTTTTCATGAAACTCTGATCCCTCCCCCTCTCTCTCTCTCCCTCTCTCTCTCTCTCTCTCTCTCTCTCTCTCTCACACAGGAACCCAATAAACCCTAAACCCCTAAACCGTGCTTACGAGAATTAAAGGTTAACCTTTGGGGACTATATAAGGGTAAAAGTGCTCAAGAGCCCAGCCCGGGGCTACCAGCGTCGGCATGTACAACCTACCACACCCCACCTATCTCCCTGTACAACAACGTCCTGGATCCAGGGCGCACTTATGCAGGACGCCAGCGAATGTTTTCTGTGGAGGGGGCCACAATGCACAGAATACACAGTGCGACGTTAAAGCCTTAAGCCTGAAGCCTTCAATACAAGAATAGAAAAACACAAACAATCCCAGACTAAATGCAAAGTTCCGCGCAAGAAACCGTATACTATAGAGGCTTATCAAAAGTCGAACCTTGTTCACTACTACCGTTCCGCAAGAAAACCCTAGGGCTCCAAGTATACAAAGAGTACCTACTTTGGGGTCGAAAGTCTGTAAATAGTATCTACTTTGGGCTATTTGGAGCCCCAGGGAAAGATCAGCCCAGGATCCGGCAAACCCAGATTGGCAGATTTCAGCTTTCTTTCCAGCAGGCCAGCCTCCCCCTTGCCGAAGATGCCTAGGCTCTTTGAGGGCTTAGGGTTTTAGGGTTTAGGGGGTGTAGGGTTTAGGGTTTTAGGGTTTAGGGGTTTAGGATTTAGGGTTTAGGGATTAGGGTTCAGGGTTTAGGGTTCAGGAGGGAATGGGGAATTGATTCTAGGGACAAGTATATGTAAATATAAGGGACGATCACAGGTGTTAAGGAACCTTGTCTCAGTTACCATAATGCGGAATGTAAACGGTACAAAATGATGCCTACTACATATCCCCATTATGGCAAAGGAACTGAGCTCGGATTGACATTAAGTTAGCATGGGGTTCAGTGTTTTAGAGTGTTGCAGGGTTTCGACGGACCTGCTTTATGCGAGTTCAAAAAGAGAACCGAAAGCAGTTTTGCCAGGTACCCGACGATATGGTAACTTAGCGAAGAAGCTCCTTAACAAGAGCAAAGGTGCTGTGGAGGAATCGATGAAGCTCGCTTTGTTGGCATCTGACGCCTGGAGGCTCCAGAAAATGATGCGTCCCTAGCTTACCCGAAACACCTGCTCTACGGGTTAATGCTTATTCTTACACTTGTGTTCGTTTGCATGCGCACGTATGAATATGTACATACCCATTCAGATCTATTCAGTACGCAATTGTAGGAAACATATGTGTGGACAGAGATATTTTGAAAGAGAGCGGGAGAGAGAGAGGGAGAGAGACAACACAAAGCAAACTCCACGAGCACACACACACACACAACGGGCATGGCAGCGAGAGCGAGACTTTAACAAAGCTACCCCCACACATGAGGGGTATGACTCAACCCGAAACCCTAAACCCCTAAACCTACCCGAAACCCTACCCATAGGCCCCTAAGTAGTTCCTTTTTGGGATTACCTTATTATAGGATTTTAAATATAAACCACAAAAAGGAACTACTTAGGGGCCTATGGGTAGACCCGCAACGATCTGACAGCATCCACCTGGCCGCCCGTAGGTCCGGATACAAATCAGCCATTTATCATCCGGCCGCCCTGGCTGCTCATCCAAAGCCTGCCACTCTTTGTGATATTTGGTTTAGGGTTGAGGAGTTAGGGACTCTATGGCTTAGCTCTAAAGTTTAGGCCGAGCCTCGACTTAGGGGTGGTAGACTGACTAGTCAGCACCTCTGATTCACCTTGATCGCATTAAAGGCAACTACATACTGCTTTCTTTTGGTCATGTCTCGCATGCCTGTCACTGAACCCTAATGTTGGGGCCTTCATGATCAGAATTGGGTTTTGGGGATATTCTCTACTCCAAACATAGTACGGAACCACCCCAAATTGGAAAAGGTAATTATGATGATGATGATGATGATTATGATTATTATTATTATTAAACCCAAAACTCTGCCGACTCTGCCTGTCGCACCCGGCCACGCGCTGTCTCAAGAAGGGCTTGCACCCAGGGATGTCGAAAGACGGCATCCCCATGACATGGTCCAGGAGCCAGTGCTTCTGCGTAGGGCTGCATGGGGTTTGCCAGGCCGTCTCTGATCACCTGGGGTTGAGTTTAGGGTTCAAGGTTAGGGGTTTTAGGGGGTTTCAGCACGGGTTTAAGGGTTTCGGGTTTAGGGGGGTGGGGTTTAGGGTTTAGCTGAGGGTGTACAGTACGGCTGAGTGTTTAGGGTTTTGGGGGTTCTAGGGTGTTAGGGGAACCCCAGGAGCGTAGGGTGTGCCGGGTGTGCATGTAAAGGCCCCTCAGTCGCAAGCTCCTGGCGGGATCTCTACCAGGCTGGAGCCCGTGACCCATCTTTTGGGGTCCCTAAACCCTAAACCCTAAAACCCTAAACCCTAAACCCTTTTGCATCCAGGACCTAAACCCTAAAACCCTAAACCCTAAAACCCTAAACCCTAAACCCTAAAACCCTAAACCCTAAACCCTAAACCCTAAAACCCTAAATTACCTGAAGCCCTACAAACCCGAACCTCAAGGCTCCCTGAAACCTATAATATCCTGTGTACCCCTAGACCCAGGGCTGGTCGAGGTGTCCTTATCGAGGCCGCCGGGCACTTCTTGGGTATTCCATGCCAAGAAGTGAGGGTAGTTGCAAACGTGCTTTTTTGTCGGAACTTAGCAACAATCTCCTGTAGAATTGACAAGGGCCCCTGCACGTCTGCAAGTTTTTGGAAGGCAGTGGCTGAGATCGGGTTTCGGAAGCCCACACCTCGGCTGCTGTTGGAGGATGGCCCTCACAAACCTTCAATGCAGCGGCCGCCAAGCGCGCATCACATCCCAGCTCCAGGGCCAGCGACGCGGCGGCAGAGGCCATGGGGTCTTTCTTAGGGCCCATGTTGAGTGCAACAGGGAACTAGGGCCTAGGGCACCTGCTACCCGCACCTCCACCTTAGCTTGATTAGTTCCATGGTCCGATTACTGTCGCCCAAGCTGGTAGGGAGTGTGTGGCTTGCCAACGCTAAGGTGGCAGGTCGTGGACGACTCCCGTGCTGAAGTCCTGAACGCCCTACTCTTATCGATTCTTACCCAATGAGCTCAACACAACTCATTCAAACACCATATCGAAAATCATGACAACAAGCATCATGTGTATTTCCTTTTCAATTCATAGTGGACGTTCTGTGAACCAGCCCAGCGAGTTTGCTCAGGTATGGCCGCTGGTGTGAAGGGGCGTGAAGCTGTCGGTGCAGGGAGCGATGCCTGTAAAACCAGCAATGCCAACAACGCCATGGAGACTAACGAACACAAAGACAACATAAAGATGGTAATAATGAGCTGCCGTTCGCATGCATCATTATAGCACAACTGACTTGTTAACTGAAAACAGCAGGAACAAGTTTACGGTAACTTTGCCACGACAAATGTGGTTAGCCTTATTAATACACTATCGTTTACCCTGACTCAGCTGTAAATGATGCCTACATCTCCATGATAGAGCCCTGGTTTTCGTGACCCATCTAACTACTCGGTACAAGAACCCCTTAAAGGAACCCTTTGATTCCAAGCATCCAATCGCGAAAGGGTCTGAGCTCCTGTGATATTTTGTTGTTGTCGCGCCCAGGGCCCGGTACAAACCCGAAGCTTTTGACCCGCTTCCGCCCCATAATTCCAACTTGTACAGCCCTAAGGGGCCTAAGGGTCCATGTACTCATGTAGTATATACTGTGGCCTTGAGTTGTTCATAGACTAGTTGCTGTATGGCTCCATTATGTACTATTGGAGCCCTCATAAGAGGAACCCTCGAAGGGACGCTTAAAGAACCCTTCAAGGAATCCGAACAGGTCTTCCACTTCCATGCAACGCGCACGCGCGCGCGCCTCCGCGTCCGCCGCATCCGTCAATGCAACCGCCGACAGAACATCAGCCTCACACATCTCCTTCGCGGGAGAGGCTTGAGGGATGATTTTAGGGTCTAGGGATTAGGGTTTATAAGGTTTAGGGTTTAGGGTTTAAGGTTTAGGGTTTACGCTCTCACAACTCGGACATGCCAGGCGAGGTCAATGGTACGTGGTCGGCGTACCTTAGGGTTTAGGGATTAGGGTTTAAGGTTTAGCTCCGATGGTGATCTTTGCTTGCGAAGCCCCACAGAACCCCGAGCAGCTAGAAGCCTGCCCCACGTAGAGCACAAATATAAAGCTCCGAAAGCACTGTCCCCCGAGCCCACATAATCATCAGAATGACTCTGCTGATACCCTTTTTACACAGGCTTGATTAGTGCTCGCCCGGCCAAATTCCCAGCACATCGCAGTCGTGGCGAGATGCTCAAAAAAGCTTAAAAAAACCTATGCTGCCACCTATCTTGTAAGTTTGTAGATACTGTTATTGCAAGCCTACCTGCAGCTGCGGAAATTCGCGCAGAAGCTGCTTCAGCCCATCGTTGCCGAGCGGCCTTGTTGCGGGTTCATGGTTTTGGGATTGGGGGCTTGGGTTTACGGCGTTTTGGTTTAGGAGTTTGGGGGGATTAGGGTATCACCTGACATGGTTTCACATGTGAAACTAAGGTGAAGGTCATGCAGGTCAAAGTGGGAGCCCCAGAACGTCTTGAAAATGATTGCACCATTTTCCTACGTTCTGTTTTGACATGGAGACGGCGGCGGACAATCGCCATAATAAGGGCACTACTAGGGGACCGAGGTCTCTGCAACTCTCTCGTAACCCACTGTCCCTAAACCCTAAATCGTAGTGGCACTTGAACCCGATAAACGCTTAAAATAGGAGTCACTAGGTTGCTGTGGCTTTAAGTCCTACGCCCTAAACCTTTGTGACTCTTATGCTCATTATAGTAACCTTATACTCTCAGAACCCCTCATGCTGCTCATAGTAACCCTTAAAATTGAATGGAGAAACCTGCAGACTCATGTCAGTAACCCATGTACGTGTTGTAAGAAACCCGTGCACTATCATACCCTTTGTAGTAAACATCACACTTACAAGCATCTTAGAAGACCTTGAGTCACTTGAACTCTTGTCGGGTTAGACAGTAACCCCTATATACAGCTTAAAAAACCTTATCCTAATTTTAGAAGCTGTACTTAAAAAAACATACTTGCATCTGTTGCTAGGGTTTAAGGTTTAGGGTTTCCCAGAGCCACCTGCCAGTGTCTCGAACCCAGGACTGCTTTCTTCGTGGTCGCAAGCGCCGCGTCAGAAGCGAGATGAGGTAGGCTGACTGGTCCTGAGAGTCTAATTGTTTGTTGCTTAGGGTTTAGGGTTTAGGGTCTGTTGCTTAGGGCTGAGGGTTAAGCCAAGTCCCACACCCTAATGTGCAGGCGCTTTCATAAATACAATAGGTTTTTCCGGGTACATTATACTGCTACTTTAGTACTATAGTTACATGACGCTAAGAAGAGTAGCTACTGAGGCCCCAGTACCTGAAACTGGCGGGTTTCAGAAGGGCCTCAGCTTCGACCTCAAACCTTTCGACACCCAGATCTTCCAAGACTCCCTTCACTAAGGAAGATAACCATATAACATGGTTAGCAGGCTCCCTACTGCCCTAATATGATTTAAATTTGAAGTACAACCCTAAACCCCAAACCCCTCTCTCTCTCTCGCGCGCTCAGGGGATCCCGTCAGACGCAACGCTCGTTCTCTGAACGGAGCCCTTTTTTGCATCTGGTTTGCAGCGACTCAAGCAGGACAGAAACAAGAGGCAC